ACTTATTTACCATTCAGCATTGATTGACTAATATAGTACAGACACTTGGCTGGCTACTGCAGGTAAAAATTATTAAAATATTATTGCTGCCTTCAAGGCACTATAGTCTAGTGAGAAATGCAGACTCATTGGTAGGTCATTATAAACAACATGATAAGGGCTGTAATGAAGTCAAGCAAGGAATCCCCGGGGAGCATCAGAGAGGCCTTTAATCTTACCCAGAGAGATAGGGAGGGGTTGGGAGGTGTCTCAAGAAGGGGCCGCTAAGCATGCACAGTGGGGAATGAGGAAAGGCCAACGAGACAACTCCATACCCTGTCCTCTTTGTGTTGGAACTTACTGGCCTGCTGTCAGCCCTCATCAGAACTGGTTCAGGATTGGGCAAGATGTACCTACAGCTCGTACAGGTAGAAAAGGCAGGGACTGAGATGGCTATTGCTGGCATTTAAAATTCCTGGCTATTTTGCCCGGCTGGCATGGCTCAGTGGTTGAGCGTCTACCTATGAACCAGGAGGTCACAGTTTGATTCCCGGTCAGGGCCAGGTATCCGGGTTGCAGGCTCCGTTTCTGGTGTGGGGCATGCAGGAGGTAGGCAATCAATGGTTCTCTCCCTGGCCATTGATGTTTCTCTCTCTCTCTCTCCCCCCCCCTCTCCCTTTCTCTGAATTCAATAAAAATATTTATTAAAAATTAATTAATTTAATTTAATTCCTGGCTATTTCAAGACTCAGGGAATCTCTCTCCCCCTCTCCCTTTCTCTGAATTCAATAAAAATATTTATTAAAAATTAATTAATTTAATTTAATTCCTGGCTATTTCAAGAGGTCTCAGGGAATGTCGTAGGAACACAAGGTTGGGATTAGGAAGTTTGGACTCTTATCCTTGGTGAGACCTGACGGAGTGACTTCGGCAAGAGGAAACGTATTTGACTCAGTTTTTTCCACAGAGTTGTTACGTGCGATAGGGGGAAAATACTTAAATGGTGTTTCATTCCTGAAATAATATATAGTAGAAGTCATAATTTCATTCATTTATTTAAGGATCTCATCCTTTCTGTTTTAAAGTAGTAGGATCGTGGGTCTGCCAGGTTTAGCTGGCGTAATTTATTTTAGGAGCGCTGACCGTGTTTTTGCTGAATAACCCCTCTCTGCACTTCTCTCCAGACACTTGGCAAAAGCAAATGCTGAGCTCTCTAGGCTTCTGTGTGGGAACTGGGCCAATAAGTTCCTCCTCACCAGCAGATGTTTCTCTTGTTCCGGTCGGAAGGAAATGCTTCCCTTTGGTCAATAGTAATGTGGCCCAAACCCAACTCCCACCGCTCGGTTCGCCAGGCATTGATTCTTACATTGTCTTATTTTGAGTCATCACAAATGTTCAAAAGGGGGTAAGGTGATAGTGGCAGAAAAAGGTGGTGGAGGGTTGTGATGTTCAGACTGTCCAGCAGACCGTCTTCAGGATCTAGATGGCCTACAACCCGTACAGTGGTGTGGGCTCGGCCAGCAGTGTGGACCAAATTCACAAACTTTTGTATAAGCCAAAGGCCGTTAGAACATACAGACTTTTAAACTATTGGACCATATTTTTCCCCTCAGAATGAAGACTTAAGATATGGGACATATAAGAATTTATATAACGCAGTGATGATTTGTATAATAGCAAAAACAGCTATAACATATGGAACGAGTGATATGTTGGGAAGATTAATAACTTAAGGCAAGGATGCATAAACGACAGCCCAGAGTCACTTGTCTGTATTTAAAATAAAGTTTTACTGGAACACAGCCACACCCATTCATTTATGTACCATCTGTTGCTACTTCAGAACTATGATGGCAGAGACTGTATGGCCCAATAAAGCCTGAAATATTTACTATCCAGCCCTTTACCGAGAAAGCTTGCCAACTCCTGAATTAAAGAGGGAGATTGAAAGTACAAAATTAACTTTTAAAATATTTTAAGAACTTTGGAATAAAATGTCTGTGTTTGTGGCTGTTTTAATATTTCACCATATTGTTTTCTTCCATCTATGTGTTCACATTATGACATTCTTGAAGTGAGATCTTAGCTAAGGAAAAATTTATCCATTTGTTTCTACCAAATGAGAGTGCTATTTTTTTAGGTAAAAATAGTCAGATATCAGCAATTTTAAATGGTTTGAACTGATATGAAATACTAGAGGCCCAGTGCATGAAATTTATGTACTGGGGTGGGGATTGGGGGTGTCCCTCAGCCCAGCCTGCACCCTCTCCAATCTGGGACCCCTCGGGGGATGTCCAACTGCTGGTTTAGGCCCAATCCCACAGGATATCAGAAATTTCAAATGGTTTGAACTGATATGAAATATTTTTGTAGTACTGTATTTTAACTAAATATGTGGATACTTTTAACACATGTGGTGAGTTTTGACGTGGCTCCTTTCAGCTTTAGTTGATCAGATCAAGTATCTGTGCTGATTCTTGAAACATAAGAAATACAAGTATATAATATTGTCTTGCCAATATCTTTTAAAATATTAGATTTTCTTTTATAAATTAGTTTATGCTCTTCAAGAGTTGGTTCATACTGAACTGGTAGGGTGATTAACACTTTGGGGCTTATGCTTTGGTGGAGGAAAATGTATTTGCATCTGGAGCATTCCATTGGCAGGTGTGACCATTCTAACCTCCCAGATTTGTACGCCCTATTACCCTCTGGGCCAACTTTTCTTGGCCAACACACTCAGCTTTGGCAAAGTGTCTCTTCTTGGGAAAAAGAAGGCCCATTGTTCCTGTCTCAACCAGAACTAATTTCATTCAATATCAAAGCAAGAAGCCTACAGCTCTTTAAACAGATTATGAGCCATAAAAGGCCCAGGTTCTTCTTTAAACAATAGCCCTTTAATCACAAGTGTTTTTGCTTAAAAACTGAAAAGTCAAATTGCAGAAACTCTTTCTAAGATGATTGAGATAAATATTTCTAGTGTGTGTGTGTGTGTGTGTTTTGATTATTTTAATAGGAAATATTTGCAAATCTTTCTCCAGACTTGGGGAATAATATTTAGCGTTGGGTACATGCTGTTTTATATAAGACAGAATAAAATCGCTCTTTTCTCACGTGAAGTTCCAGGTGGCACGGGTGGCTCGGGTGAGCCGCGATAGGCTGTGCAGGTGTGCCATGTGAATGCCTCTCCCCTGCAGGAGCTGCAGGTGCACTGCGCCGAGGGACAGGCGCTGCTGAACTCGGTGCTGCACACCCGAGAGGAAGTGATCCCCTCGGGCCTCCCGCAGACGGAGGACCGGGCGTTGGAGTCTCTCCGGCAGGAGTGGCAGGCTCACCAGCAGAGACTGTCCGAGACCCGGACGCAGTTCAATAATGTCGTCAACAAGCTGAGGCTGATGGAACAGAAGTTCCAGCAGGTGGACGGGTGGCTGAGAACCCTGGAGCAGAAAGTGAGTCTCAGGGCTGGTCGTCAGTCCAACCGGGCAGCCAAGGAGGCGCAGTTACATCAGATGAAGGTAAGTGAGCTCAGGTTCCTGATCTGGCTCGAAGTAGCAGTTGCTTTGCAGAGCGGGTTTCATTAAGATATGTGGTCACTTCTTTTCTGTCCAAGGTTTAGATTTTGCAAAATCTTCTGCTTGAAAAGAAAGTTAACGTAAATTACAATGGGGCATTCTAACACCAATTATGCATAGAGTCCCAAATGAGTCTTTAATGAAATATAACTTAATGAAATATTTTATATCTTATATCCTTATGCCCTATTACCTTGCTTTGTAAAGATATATAAATGCTAGTATTACAATCCATTTAAGTTTATGGTTCTGATATGAAATCATTCCAATATAGTGCATTAAAATAATACTTGGTATTTAGTTTATTCTGATTTTTATGCAAATCTGGTGCACATGATGATCAAAATAATGCTTAGGCCTTCAGGATGTTTTTCATTATTCACCTATTTTAAAATGTGTCCAAGTACAACAGAAGATATAAAAATGTATGCCACTCTGCTTTAACAATTTTGAGCGGAAGTGTAATATGTACAGAGAAGTACTTAAACTCAGAGTATAGCTTTTATCATGTTATTATATTTTTCATGAAAGTTATATATAACACATTTTTAAAATTACATCTCAGAATAAATCTATTCTAAACATAGTGGAATCATTCCCGATTAATACAGTTGTATCTATGTACAATTTTATATATTTCTTGAACTGAAGTGTAATACATACAGAAAAGTGCCTAAATCAAGAGTGTGTAGTTTTTATCACATTGTTGTAGTACACTTTTCTTATGAAGGTTAAGTACATATTTTCAAAATTATATCTCAGAATAAATATATTCTAAATGTACACTGGAATCATTTCCTATTAAGAAGGTACCTATATTTGTCTTCCTCAACAATGCTTACGATTAAACCTTTCCCTGCAATATTGACGTCATTTCAGAAGTGGCACGAAGAGATCACCACCTACAGAGACGAAGTGGAGGACGTGGGAGCCAGAGCCCAGGAGATCCTGGACGAGCGCCGCGTGAGCAGCCGGCTGGGCTGCCAGGCCACCCAGCTGACGTCCAGATACCAGGCCCTTCTTCTCCAAGTGCTGGTGAGAGAGCGGGCTGCCCGCTGCTGGTTGTCGGCCAGCACACTCCGCAGGCCAAAGCGTTCCTCCTTCCACTCCCTACCTTCCGGGGAAGATGCATGCGTATCACAAAGGGCACTGGTGTGGGTCTTGAACTCACAGTTCCATTTTGTTTCTTCTCTTCAAAGGAACAAATAAAATTCCTGGAGGAAGAGATCCAGAGTTTGGAGGAAGCTGAGTCATCTCTAAGCTCCTATTCTCATTGGTACAGCTCTACTCATAAAAACTTCAAGAATGTGGCTGCCAAAATTGATAAAGTAGATAAGGCAATGATGGGGAAAAAGATGAAGACGCTGGAGGTAGGCATGGCAACGTCAGAATTGTCTCCCAACCTGTCTTCTTTCACTGAGCTGCTCCTTTCTCTCGTGTAGCTATTGAGACACATGCTCATCTCCGCTCGGTGTGATGGGTGGTCCTTGGCTCATCATTTCACTTAAGTACTAAGTTCTTATCTCTTTAAGGCCCAAAGCAGACTTTCATTTATTGGTGATGTGATCTCACCTGAATGACTTGGACATGGCTGCTCACGAAATTCTTAACTAAATTCCAGTCTAACACTTTAAAAATTTAATACCAGAAATTTATCTCAAATTGATGGCACCGTGCGTTAACAGCTTTAACTCAGATATTTAGGAATATTACTGAGGATAAGATAAACACCCAGTCCTGTCTCAAAACACTGATTTGGAAATGATCTATTGATTAAGACATTTTAAAACCTATATTGATGTAAATAAAAGAGGATTCCTGATTCCTGGCGGGTCAAAACTGGTTAGAAACTCCAAACACTTTTTTAAGGGGCAATAGTGGACTCGAGAATGGGGTTTGTACACCTTTTCTTTAAAAGGAACGAAAGAAGGTTAAATTGTCCATGTTACAATGAAATTCAAGTCTCTTTTCCTTGTACTGACCCAGTATTTGCTTCCTACACTCTCTTCCTCAGGGCTTGCTAAAAGACATGGAGAAAGGCCACAGTTTGCTGAAGTCGGCCCGGGAGAAAGGAGAGAGGGCTCTGGCATACCTGGAGGACGGCGAGGCAGACGCTTTAAGAAGCAAGATCCATGGTCACGTGGAGCAATTGAACGAGCTGACCAGCACTGTTCGGAAGGAGCACATGACCCTGGAGAAAGGCCTTCATTTAGCAAAGGAATTCTCGGATAAATATAAAGCACTTACTCAGTGGATCGCCGAATACCAAGAGATCCTGCACGTTCCTGAGGAACCCAAAATGGAATTATATGAGAAAAAGGCTCAGTTATCTAAGTACAAGGTAGTGTGTTGTTACTCACTGACAGTTGCAGAAGTTGCATATGTGGACTGAGTGGGAGAGGATTCCTCTGTGTTCCTTAGTGGATGGTGGAAAATGTCCGTAACATGTTTGTTCTACTGGGGGAGAATGATGTAGATTTTTGTAGCCAGATACAGTACATAAAAGTTCTATTTCCATCCGAGAACCATATTTGCCTGATATTCAAAGGTTGTATCAATAAGTGGAGAGCTATTCTCACAGTGTGATCCAGGTAGAGGGATCCTCCAGATTAATCTTCCTGGTGTCAAGATCTCACACCTGTAGATTTCATCTGTTTCATGTAGAGTCTTCCCTTCATATTTGGGTAGCCAAGGCCAATAAGCTAGTCTCTGGTTAATTTAAAACGAGATACCATATTTGTAAGAAAACAAGTTCTACTTCATTCACTCTAGCTAGACATCTTAGAAATTAATCTTTCAAAGAACAAATGGAAAATAAAAAGAACAAGTGGTGGTGTGAATATAGCTAGCAAAATAGGATATAGAGATAGTTCACCTATTTTAATTTTTGAAACAATTATGGAAGTCTATATGTGGAATAATTTGTATTCTAAATTTGACCTGAATATTTAAAGCAGTGGTTCTCAACCTTGGCTGCACATTAGAATCACCTGGGAATATTTTTAAAATCCTGATTTCTGGGCCTCATCCTTGGAAATTCTGTTTCTTTGTTATGGGGTGGGGCCACAACATTCGTAACAAAGAAACAGAATTTCTGGAGGATGGGGCCCAGAAATCAGTATTTTAAAAAGATTCCCAGGTGATTCTAATGTGCAGCCAAGGTTGAGAACCACTGATTTAAAGGATAGTCTTTAAGAATTGTCAGATGACTCACCTCAAAGTTTTCCCTGCCACGCTTTGTTCTCCTCCGGCCAATATGTCTATTCTCATCCTTGGCGTTTCTACCAAGTCTGACAGCGTGTCATTGAACCACTGAGTTCTCAGTATGTTTAAATAGTGCTGTGAGCCAGGACAGCATTCTGGCAGCTAGAATTTATCTCCCTAACTTTATTTACATGCACCTCAAGCTGCAGTTAATGTCAGGAACTCAAAATAAAAAGATAGTGCCTGGTTCTGTGTTGAGTTTTATTCTCTGCTGAAAGGAATGGGATGGAAGCTGGAAATAAAAATAATGTTAAATCTCATCAAATGCAATTCTTTCCCATGCTTCCCTCTCCACACTATTTGATGTTATTCTTTGTTTAAAAACTATTTTAGGCCTCAGCCAGGTAGCTCAGTTGGTTAGAGAATCCATTGAAGCTTACAGATTCGATCCCAGGTCAGGGCACTTATAAGAAGCAATCAATGAATGCAGAAATAAGTGGAGCAACAAATTGATGTCTCTCTCTCTCTCTCTCTCTCTCTCTCTCTCTCTCTCTCTCTCTCTCTCATCAGTATATAAAAATTAAAAGCTATATTAGCCATAAAGAAACCTAATTCCTTTCATGTTTTACATTCATAGACTTATAAAATAGGTCTTGATTGGAGATCATCTCACACGTGGCATACGGGTATGTTCACCTTGATCACACAGATGAGCTGGTTCTCTCTTTTTTCTTTGTAATTCAAGTCACTTCAACAGACGGTGCTGTCCCATGAATCATCGGTGAAATCAGTGAGAGAGAAAGGTGATGCTCTTCTGGACCTGGTGCAGGACCGTGCTTTGAAGGATAAGATCGCTAAGCTTCAAAGTGACTATCAGGCCCTCTGCAGCGCGGGAAAGGTAAGGCGGTAGCAGAAATCCAATACAAATATGTTTACTTGCCAGAAGGGGGGTCCTGACTCCTTTTTCTCTGTCAGAAAAATTTAAGGGCTGGGATGGGTCAGGATCTTTTCTTTTATTGGATGGCATAATGACTTTTTCTGTTTTATCTGATCCTAGTGGTGAGACTAGAGCTAGCTATATGAGCCTTCTACCCTATGAGTTGCACTGGGTTTTTCAAACATTAAAACAGTTTTGAGTGTTTTGTTTTGTTTTGTGGTGCAGGACCGTGCTTTGAAGGATAAGATCGCTAAGCTTCAAAGTGACTATCAGGCCCTCTGCAGCGCGGGAAAGGTAAGGCGGTAGCAGAAATCCAATACAAATATGTTTACTTGCCAGAAGGGGGGTCCTGACTCCTTTTTCTCTGTCAGAAAAATTTAAGGGCTGGGATGGGTCAGGATCTTTTCTTTTATTGGATGGCATAATGACTTTTTCTGTTTTATCTGATCCTAGTGGTGAGACTAGAGCTAGCTATATGAGCCTTCTACCCTATGAGTTGCACTGGGTTTTTCAAACATTAAAACAGTTTTGAGTGTTTTGTTTTGTTTTGTTTTTGGCTTGAAAGTCACCTCTAATGGGCACTTGGCTTCACAGGAACATGTTCATAGTCTTGAGGTGAAGGTCAAAGACCATGAAGACTACAACAGTGAGCTCCAGGAGGTGGAAAAGTGGCTGCTGCAGATGTCCGGCAGGCTGGTGGCCCCTGACCTCATGGACACAAGCAGCCTAGAGACAATCACCCAGCAACTGGCCCACCACAAGGTACGTCTAGTCTCTAAAGAGCTGAAGAATACAGGACAGCTTCTACAGCCTTGCGCATAGACTTATAAAATAGGTCTTGATTGGAGATCATCTCACACGTGGCATACGGGTATGTTCACCTTGATCACACAGATGAGCTGGTTCTCTCTTTTTTCTTTGTAATTCAAGTCACTTCAACAGACGGTGCTGTCCCATGAATCATCGGTGAAATCAGTGAGAGAGAAAGGTGATGCTCTTCTGGACCTGGTGCAGGACCGTGCTTTGAAGGATAAGATCGCTAAGCTTCAAAGTGACTATCAGGCCCTCTGCAGCGCGGGAAAGGTAAGGCGGTAGCAGAAATCCAATACAAATGTGTTTACTTGCCAGAAGGGGGGTCCTGACTCCTTCTTCTCTGTCAGAAAAATTTAAGGGCTTGGATGGGTCAGGATCTTTTCTTTTATTCGATGGCATAATGACTTTTTCTGTTTTATCTGATCCTAGTGGTGAGACTAGAGCTAGCTATATGAGCCTTCTACCCTATGAGTTGCACTGGGTTTTTCAAACATTAAAACAGTTTTGAGTGTTTTGTTTTGTTTTGTTTTTGGCTTGAAAGTCACCTCTAATGGGCACTTGGCTTCACAGGAACATGTTCATAGTCTTGAGGTGAAGGTCAAAGACCATGAAGACTACAACAGTGAGCTCCAGGAGGTGGAAAAGTGGCTGCTGCAGATGTCCGGCAGGCTGGTGGCCCCTGACCTCATGGACACAAGCAGCCTAGAGACAATCACCCAGCAACTGGCCCACCACAAGGTACGTCTAGTCTCTAAAGAGCTGAAGAATACAGGACAGCTTCTACAGCCTTGCGTGTGTGTGTGTGTGTGTGTGTGTGTGTGCATTTCAAGATTATATGATTGTAGTTAAATAATCAGGTCTGAGTTCCAAGAACCTCTGATAATTGAGAACAGTTGAATTCAATATTTAATTGACTCAGTAGTAGCTGAATCCTGGCATTCAACTCTGAACACACTAGCATTTTTTCCCAGCTAATAGTTTCCTATTGCAGAATTTCATCTATATGGAATAATTTTTCAGAAAGATGGTCTTTAATTTAGAAAAATACAGCCAACGATAGGATATAGAAAGAGAGTAACCAGAAAGTCTGACCTTCAGCCAGACTCTCTCCTCAGCTGGGAGAACTTAGCCTCTCTGAGCCTCCTCCTCTTCTTCCCCTTTTTACTGAATTTATTGGGGTGACACTGGTTAACAAGTTGTACAGGTACCAGGTACACACTTCTGAGTCTCCTCCTTCTCCTCTGTAAAGGGCCATAGTGATACCAGCCCCATCACATAGCTGTTGAGGGCATCACAGGAGATAATGTCTGTGAAAACTTTTGTAAACCACAAATGGTACTGATAGGAGGCATTCTTATTTTCATTCATATGCATTTTTAGTAATTCCACCTGCCCGATGACAGATGTCATATGGTCACAATTTAATGGAGCAACTTGCTGGCCTTAATAAGAAACTGAATTTTAGTTATGATGTGTCAAAGAAAGCCATTAATGCCTGTGGGCTTCAGGATTCCTGTCTATAGGAGAACATTTTATTTAGTAAATATGGATAGAAAACTAATTATATGATATATTCTATTAGGCACTGAGAACATACCCTGAATAACCTCATGATGTAGTGACTCTCTTCTAACTCGAAGACACAATGGCTCGTTAAAATATAGTGTAGAGTAGACAATAACCATTAACGCAGCACCATTGGATAAAGTGATGGACCCCAGGCTGCTAAGGGACCACTAGGTTTCCCTTAGAGATATTGATGTGTCAACCCAGGGCACCTGGTGCTGGAATGTGTCACTTGTTATTGGTACCATATAGCAGTGAGGAAATTAAACCCTGATTGGAAAAGCTGGTTCCTCTTCTCTAAGTGATCCGAGAACATTTTATTTAGTAAATATGGATAGAAAACTAATCATATGATATACTCTATTAGGCACTGAGAACATACCCCAAATAACCTCATGATGTAGTGACTCTATTCTAACTCAAAGGTGAGAAAGCTCACTAGAGAACACATGGGGATAGAGGTGGATGAGCCGAGGTCAGGCAGAGTGGGTCCCAAGCCTGGGGCTCTGCCATTCACTAGTTGTGTGACCTTGAGAGTGTTATATAATCTCCCTGTGTGTCAGTCTCCTCATCTGAAAAGCAATGACAATAATACACACTTCTCAGGACTTCGACATAGTTCCTGGACTGTAGCAAATACTTAATAAGTGGTAAGTGGTAAATGTTATTTTCATTAATATAAATATTATGTGATGTAAACTAGATATTATATAAATTAAGCATTAGCTGTTAGGTTATTATATAAATCAGATGTTATATTATTAGAGAAATTGGATATTAGTAAATTAAATAGTAATTAGATTATTATAGGTAGAAATTATACCAGAATTATAATTGACAGAGCTGAAAAATTTATAAACATCCTTTATCTGTTAATAATACTAGGGAGTAGATATCTCTCTAGCTGAGATCAGCCATGAACTAGCTGAAAGGTTACTTCATCATCACTTAATCTATTATTTTCACCAACTCTTCCTTTTGGAGGATTCCTGAAACATACTTTTTTTTTTTCATTTGCTATATGGTAACCAAGGTAAATTGCAAACTCTTTCAAAAATATCATTAAAGAGTGAAATTTTCCTCTTAGGCCTTCTGTTTAGTAAATAGGTTATTTAAAGACTAACAGTGGAATTGCGAGAACTCTGTTCCTATTTTGTAGGCAATGATGGAAGAAATTGCTGGCTTTGAGGACCGTCTGAACAACCTGAAAACTAAAGGCGACACTTTGATCAGCCAGTGTGCAGAGCACCTCCAAGCGAAACTTATACAACATGTGCAGGCGCATCTGCAGGGCACGAGGGACAGCTACTCCGCCATCTGCAGTACCGCCCAGCGGGTGAGCACCACGGCTTGTCCTGGAGTGACCGTGAAGCAAGGAGAAAGCCTGTGCAATCCAGAGGGTTGTAAAATAGTTTAGATGCTTCAGTCTTCAGGATATTTCTGGTGTATGTCCAGACAGGAGCATAGATTTCAGGCTCTGTGGACACGGAACTTTTCGCTTTCACACATTTGCTTTCTCCCAATCCTTTTATTCCGTGAATTAATGTCAAATTTATTTAAAACCAGAATTATAATTGATAGAGATGAAAATTTTATAAACATCCTTTATCTGTTAATAATACTAGGGAGTAGATATCTCTCTAGCTGAGATCAGCCATGAACTAGCTGAAAGGTTACTTCATCATCACTTAATCTATTATTTTCACCAACTCTTCCTATTGGATTCCTGAAACACACTTTTTTTTTTTCATTTTCTATATGGTAACCAAGGTTAATTGCAAACTCTTTCAAAAATATCATTAAACAGTGAAATTTTCCTCTTAGGCCTTCTGCTTAATAAATAGGTTATTTAAAGACTAACAGTGGAATTGCGAGAACTCTGTTCCTATTTTGTAGGCAATGATGGAAGAAATTGCTGGCTTTGAGGACCGTCTGAACAACCTGAAAACTAAAGGCGACACTTTGATCAGCCAGTGTGCAGAGCACCTCCAAGCGAAACTTATACAACATGTGCAGGCGCATCTGCAGGGCACGAGGGACAGCTACTCCGCCATCTGCAGTACCGCCCAGCGGGTGAGCACCACGGCTTGTCCTGGAGTGACCGTGAAGCAAGGAGAAAGCCTGTGCAATCCAGAGGGTTGTAAATAGTTTAGATGCTTCAGTCTTTGGGATATTTCTGGTGCATGTCCCAACAGGAGCACAGATTTCAGTCTCTGTGGACACAGAACTTTTTGCTTTCAGACATTTGCTTTCTCCCAATCTTTTTATTCCATGAATTAATGTCAAATTTATTTAACTTTTGTTTTGTTTGTTTTTTATTTGACAATCACCAATATTTTTTCTAATTTGCCAGTCTATAACACTAAAATAATTTCCAGAATAATTATTTTTTAACTCTATGCAGCCTAGATTCTACTCTAATATTTTTATGCATTCATAAAATGATAAAAAGAACAAGTACCAATTTTGAGTTCTATTTTAACGGGTGTAATGAGTTGTGCTAAAACGGAATCTCTAAGGTTATAGAAATAAGGCTAAGATGAATAAGAATTGCCCTTTTAACAAAGATTAAGTACACCAGCTTAGGGAACTTTTCAGCCATTATTTATTCAAACAGGTTCCTGATCCCTTTCATTCTTTTCCTGCTGATACCCCTACAATGAAGATGTTGTTACACTTGATGCTGTCCCAGAGATCTCTTAGACTTTCCTCATTTTTTTAATTCTTTTTTCTTTTTGTTGCTCTGCTTGAAGAAAGAGGGAGAGAGAAAGATAGGAACATTGATGAGAAAGAAACATCGATCAGGTGCCTCCTGCATGCCCCCTACTGGAGATTGAACCCAGACCAGGAATCGACCCTTCTAATTTGCCAGTCTATAACACTAAAATAATTTCCAGAATAATTATTTTTTAACTCTATGCAGCCTAGATTCTACTCTAATATTTTTATGCATTCATAAAATGATAAAAAGAAGAAGTACCAATTTTGAGTTAAATTTTAATGGGTGTAATGAGTTATGCTAAAATGGAATCCCTAAGGTTATAGAAATAAGGCTAAGATGAATAAGAATTGCCCTTTTAACAAAGATTAAGTACACCAGCTTAGGGAACTTTTCAGCCATTATTTATTCAAACAGGTTCCTGATCCCTTTCATTCTTTTCCTGCTGATACCCCTACAATGAAGATGTTGTTACACTTGATGCTGTCCCAGAGATCTCTTAGACTTTCCTCATTTTTTTAATCCTTTTTTCTTTTGGTTGCTCTGCTTGAAGAAAGAGGGAGAGAGAGAGATAGAAACATTGATGAGAAAGAAACATCGATCAGGTGCCTCCTGCATGCCCCCTACTGGAGATTGAACCCAGACCAGGAATCGAACCTGCAACATCCTGGTGCATGGGATGACCCTCAACCAACTGAGCTCCAGCAGCCGGGCTGTAATCTTGTTCTCTAAATCACTGATTGGATCCTCTGCCCCATCTAACCTTGTCTCACTCCTTTTTCCTCCTTTGTCATCATCTACAATTATTTATTGGATTACTTTCTTCTTCTTTTTAGTTAACTTTTGGAAGGTGAATTCATAAGTCTAGGGCAGTGATGGCAAACCTTTTGAGCTCGGCGTGTCAGCATTTTGAAAAACCCTAACTTAACTCTGGTGCTGTGTCACATATAGAAATTTTTTGATATTTGCAACCATAGTAAAACAAAGACTTATATTTTTGATATTTATTATATATATTTAAATGCCATTTAACAAAGAAAAATCAACCAAAAAAATGAGTTCGCGTGTCACCTCTGACACGCGTGTCATAGGTTCGCCATCACTGGTCTAGGGAATCAACAGATTTCACCCAGCATTTCGGTTAGAGAAATGTTGTTTATCTTTTCATGACATGGCCTTTTATTTTTACTTTTAGTTTCTAGCTTAAACATAAACTGCAATTTGTATACCATAATGGAGAAGCTAAAAAACCTCTAATTTCTGTTTGACAATCTACTTCAGTGATTTTATGTATTCTAACACACCTTACAGTTGTATGAACCTTGCCCATGTTCTTTCCCTGATCAGGATTTATGTTGTAACGTGTGGTTTGGAAAGTAATAAACTGGGGATGGCAATTGTGCTCTGCCACCTTTGGAACATATGAAAACTCCGTTGATATGTGTATGGTACTGGGGAGTCCTGGCGGGGGGGGCGGGTAAATCCATTTCCGTGGACTGGTGGACGTGTTTCCTTTGATCCCAGGGATGTGGGTAGGGGTATGAGACGGCTCTCACAGCTGCGCACGGCTGTTCTGTTGCAGGTGTACCAGAGTTTGGAACATGAACTGCAGAGGCATGTCAGTCGCCAAGACACGCTGCAGCAATGCCAGGCCTGGCTTTCTGCCATCCAACCTGATTTAAAGCCAAGCCCGCACCCACCTCTGAGCAGGGCAGAAGCCGTGAAGCAGGTACTGACTCCTGAAGTTTATGTTATGTGATGTGATTCATTCAGACATTCAATAGAAACATGTTAAGTACTCATTGTGTGCCAAACTGTGCTGGCTGCTGGGGACACCCAAGTACAGGCATACCTCGTCTTATTGGACTGCGCTTACTGGGCCTCGGAGATAATGCGCTTTTACAAATTGGAGGTACAGCCCTCCTCCAGCAAGAAGATTATGACTCACTGAAGGCTCAGATGATAGTTAGCTTTTTCTTTTTTAATCTCTGAAAAATGGATATTTTTTCCATTGCTTTTCATCCTTCTGATCCCTGCCTGCCCCTCTCATAGGAATCTAAGCTCCGTGGGAACAAAGGTTTTGTTTCATGCACTGCTTTATGCCCATGATCTAAAACAGAGCCTACATATCTGACTATCTTCAAAAAGACACATTTCTCCATGTCCGTGTGTATAGATTAATGATCCCTGGGAAATGCCTTTCTCGAACTTTCCGCAGAAAAAAAAGAGCCCAGCCATCTAATTTGTCCCAAACTCTAATGAAGCCTACAGGTGCACAATGACCTTTTTTCCCCCTTTATGTCTCCAGACTATGTGAAAACATGCTAAGAAGCAGGCTAGAGTAAAGATTCTTTCTCTGAAACAGAGAACAGTTAGAATGTGAGCTGAGAAGCAGGAAAAAATATAGGAGTTTCTTGGGTGTTTCCTTTTACCCGACCGTACCGGCTTTAACACAATGAGAAGCAAGTGACGGGCAAAGGATCCCTGCCAGTGTGTTTTGAATTCTTTCTGAGAATTACTAATACATGCTATTTACAACAAAGGTTGTATATACTGAACATAGCAAAATTATTTTTGAAATGTCAACAAGGTAATACAAATGGCACAAAGATGTGCTGTGTAAGGATGGCATGCATGTCTTCCATTCTGACAAGTGTGTTTGTTTAAGGTCAAGCACTTCAGAGCTTTGCAGAAGCAGGCCAGGACCTACTTGGACCTCCTCTGCTCCATGTGCGACTTGTCGAACTCTTCAGTGAAAACCACGGCAAAAGACATTCAACAAACAGAGCAAATGGTAAGGCGTGTAAGCCATTGGATTTGTCTGTTCTGTTACATTCTCTTGTTTGAACATTGGGTGAGAAGTTTAAAGAAAATATTTCTTTGAGTCATTCTTGCTATAAATCCCCTATGGTGATTATAATGATTAAATATTTGAATTTCAACTAAGTCACAGAAAAATAAGCACATTCCGTTCCCAATGCCACTGAGTTGGAACTGAAACATCTAGGCCCATTGATCTTCTAATTATTAGTACTTGATTCCACTTCTTTTTTTTCCCTTGATTACCATTCTCTTCCTATTTTTCCACTCATTTTTTTGTTTTGTTTTCTCCTTTCCATCTTTTTCTTTGGGTAACACTTACTATGGAGGGTGTGTGTTCCTGATCCTTGCTTTATGTTAGGGCTGGCAAAGGCCTTCTAAGCCATTGGCAGTGGCTGAGTGTGGTGTTGGGAAGGATTCTGGAGCTGCCTCTGGGCTCAGTGGAAAATGCTGTGATGAATTAGCAGTACTGTCCACAACAGACAGATGGCAGCACAGGGTCATGTGCCTTAACCTCTTTAATACTTTTGGGTTTAAAAGAAAAATAGGACTTGGTTTAGGTTTTTAATATATAAATATTTATAGGACAGTAAAATCACCCAAAGCAAGAAATGTCTCAAAATAATGAAGGTTACTCTCTTTTATATTATATTTTCAAACCAAGTCTGTCTTTAATCCTGATGAAAATGCAGTAATTTATATGTTTTCACAGAAATGATTTATTGAAATAAATTATATGGTTTCAAAAGGCAGTGAAGCAGATCTAAAAATATATTTAAAACATTAATAACTCAGTGTTTTATAAGAATTAACAACAAATGTATAATAGAGAATAATTTGTCTTTTCTCGTTAACCCCAAGATTGAATGTGCGAGTTATTCAGGTGTTGAAAACGCCAAATATGAAAAACCATTAGGGCAACTTAATAGATTGTTAAAACTTCTTAAAGTCTCATGATACTGCTTGAAAGTATATGGCATGTCTTATACATGAAAAGTCCTTAGAAAAACCTAAGTATAAAAAGAAACATCTGCTTTTCTTGAAGCAAAGAAAGAATTCGTTGTGGATGTATAGCAGAGTGTGTGCACGCATGCATGTGTACTGGCCTGTGTACATGGACAGGCTGAGGAATTGCACCTCTGATTCACTGGACATAAACGTCTCCATCTGTGAGCGCTGACTTTTGCCTCTGTGTTCCCTCCAGATTGAACAAAGGCTTGCCCAGGCTCAGACCTTAACTCAGGGCTGGGAGGAGATCAAGCACATGAAGGCTGAGCTTTGGATTTACCTCCAGGATGCCGACCAGCAATTGCAGAATATGAGGCGGAGACACGCGGAACTGGAGCTCAATATTGCACAGAACATGGTTTCCCAAGTGAAGGTAGGAAAGAGTGAGTCTCCCAGGGGGAGACAGAGAAGGCCAAGATGGGTGTGTCCCTCAATCCTTAAACATTAGCATAGCTATTGAAGGAATACAAAGACTCAGAAAGACCTTCATTTGGTGCCAGGAAAAGACAGATCAGAGAGCAAACATTTGTAAAACACAGCAAAAAAAATATAGTCAGTAATATTATAATAATTAAGTATGGTGTCAGATGTGCACTACACTTAAGGGTGATCACTTTGGAAGTTATGTAAATGTCTAACCACCATATTATACACCTGAAACTCATATAACATTGAATGTCAACTGTAATTGAAAAATAAAAATAGTAATTTTAAAAATGAAAGTAAACATTCAAATAGTTTATTGGAGCTCCAATTGGCCACTTGAATCAAAGGACCCTCCCTCTGCACTTTGTTCCTGAACAAGGCTCTGTGGTTTAGCTGATACAACCAGAAGCCTCTGCCTCTGAACACACACAAGCCCTCATCACTTATCATCTTTCATCACAATGTTGCTGAAGCTGCAGGACTGTCAATGTGCCCATTAATTAAATACATGTTAAATATATAAAATACATAATATACATGTTATATTATATCTATATATATAAAAGCCCAGCAACCGGACTGGCAGAACAACCAGAATGACAGGAACAACCGGTGGCTATGACATGCACTGCTGGCAGCCAACCAGCCTATCTGGGCCCTGATCAGCCCCCTGCTCCAGCAGGCCTGGCCCCCAATTGGCTCCCAACACCCAGATCGAGGGCAGGGGCAGCCGGCTGGACTCCGCCTGTGCACAAATTCGTGCACCAGGCCTCTAGTATATTTTATATGAATCCTATATAACAAAAGGCTAATATACAAATCAACTGAATGGTGGAATGACCACTCGCTATGACACGCACTGACCATCAAGGGGCAGACACTCAATGCAGGAGCTGCCCGCTGGTGGTCAGTACGCTCCCACAGGGGGAGCATCGCTCAGCCAGAAGCCCTGAGCTGGGCTCACGGCTGGCGAGTGCAGCGGCGGTGGTGGGAGCCTCTCCTGCCTCTGCAGCAGCTGTAAGGATGTCCGACCACCTACGCTGTCAGTTGGACATCCCCCGAGGGCTCCCAGGCTGCAAGAGGGTGCAGGCCAAGCTGAGGGACCACTGCCCCCCCAACCCTGAGTGCAGAATTTTTGTGCACCGGGCCTCTAGTAAATATATATTAATATATAAATAATTGAAGCTGTAGGAACGTAAGTGTACCAATCAACTAAATACATATTTGAATATAAACTAGATATTTATTAATATATAATTATATTTGTAATAGAAATACATTGCTATTCCATATTTATACATAATTTAATAGAAGATTATTTTAACTTGATTGGAAGTTGTACCAGATTTTTAACAAACTTTAAAGTTTATCTTTTCTCTATGAAAGTGAACCATTTATAGTTTCTACTAAAATATTATTTGCATATGCAGAAAAAACAAGATGACATAAATTTAGATTACTTTTTTTTCTCAAAAGCATGAACTTCAAAAGTTTTTAGGAAACTAAGGCTGCACTTTAAGATACAATATTAACTTTTTTCCTTAGTGAATATAATATTGTTTTACATTTCTCAGTTTTTCTTTATACTGTTCAAAATTACACAATAAAAGAAAGTACTACAGTTATCCTTTGATTCTTATACACTTGGAAATTTGTATTCATAAAGAGGTATGATCATTTTTAGTCTCTCATTGTTCCGCATGACCCATTAATTATACATGCTTAGTTTGTTAGGCTAATTACATCTATGCTTCCCTCTATATTTACTGGGGAGTTTATTTCAGGTTACCTATTTTGTCGGTGTTGTTACCTTCAGGATTTTGTTAAGAAACTACAGTGCAAACAGGCGTCGGTGACGGCTATTACGGAAAAGGTGGATGAGTTAACCAAGAAGCAGGAGTCTCCGGAACACAAGGAGATCAGTCATCTGAACGACCAGTGGCTGGATCTGTGCCTTCAGTCCAACAGCCTGTGCTTGCAAAGGGAAGAGGATCTCCAGAGGACAAGAGACTACCATGACTGCATGAGTGTCGTCGAGGTGTTCTTGGAAAAATTTACTACAGAATGGGATAACTTGGCCAGGTAACAGCAATGCTCTGGCACATCTCAGAATACTAAGCCAGATGTTTCTTAATTTCTATAAAAATGGAAAAGGCCTTTCTTAATGTTTTTAACATCCATTGTCAATCATTATCAACACTGACAAAACATTGTTAAGAAACTCATGTTGCCTGGATGTGGCTCAGTGGTGGAGCACCCATGAACATTTTGAATCCAGGTCAGGGCACATGCCCGGGTTGCAGGCTTGATTCCCAGTAGGGGGCATGCAGGAGGCATTCTATCACTGATTCTCTCTTATCATTGATGTTTCTATCCCTCTCTTCCTCTCCCTTCCTCTCTCAAAAATCAATAAAAACACATTAAAAAAAGAAAAGAAAAGAAAGAAACTCATGTTGTCATATGGATAGAGAGCCCTGGTTCTCCTTGCTCACTGTTAATTGAACTGGTGGGTAAAAGGATGCATATAGGAGGCCACCGATCAATGTTTTCTCTCACATCGATGTTTCTCTCTGTCTCCCCCCCCTTCTCTTTCCTCTCTCTCTAAAATCAATAAAAACATATCCTTGGCTAAGGGTT